TACGTTTTTTTCTATATTATTTTACAGTGAAAGACGGTCATCTGTCCACCGCATCCGCGGCCACTTTATTTTATCTATCAAAAACGAAAACTACCTGTCTAAGAACGGCCTCGTAAATGTCTCATCGCTCGATACTTTGTCACAAATTATGTATTGGCTCCTGACGTTGTCGACGAGCTGTCACAATCCATTCACATTTCGTTATTGTTAGTTCCTCCAATGTCTAATCATGTTGGGTAGGTCCCACCCATTGTTGATTACCCAAGTTGACCAACCGGTGACAATCCCGCCCACAACTCATACACAAATCGCAAGTGAGGTGATCGGTCATTGTTCACCCAGTCTTTGATAATGGATGTGAACCTGAACTTGCGACAGAAGCGTCCCTCGTTCCGCAGGTGGTGGCGACCCATTTGTTTATTTTACCTTGTCTTCCTCGTCTGACACATTTTGTCTGGTTTTACCCTGTCTTCCTCATTTGATACTCTGCATAATTTAACACTAATTACAGCAGTCGCGAGACTTCGTCTCTCTGCGTAAACAAACATGTTTCACTCATGATGACGACATCAAGGTAGAAATGTATCCAAAGTCCTGAGCCTGCAACCAGTTCCAGTTGGGAAATCAGATAGATGTAGGGAATGTTTAAAAACAACTATCCCCTTCCCCTTAAAACAAAACAAAACAATGCCCACCTTTAAAAAAAAACAAAACAAAGAGAAAATAACACAAAACGAAGCAAAACAAAACCAGCTATAATAAAAAAAACAACACCTTCCTACCCCCCCCCCTAAAAAAATTCAACAACAAACTTGCAAAAAACATTTTAACTTGCCTTGCGACTGTCCCAAGACTTCTTTTTTGGTAGTGTTTTACGGCGCTCGCATCTGCATAAGGTCATATGAGCCCGCATGGTTGGTAGGAACTTTTGAATTTTGGCCGGGTGGCGGCCAAAGCCTACTATTATCGATTTTGGACAACCAATGGAACTTTAACTTTCGCAACTTGCACACGGGACCTTCGAGATTTTTCGCCCTTGTCTGAGAAGGTGTAGATCTCACCTACCATAAGA